TTGCAGCATGGCCACCCCTCCCGGGGGTGCTTTCTCACACACACACACACACACACACAAAAAAAAAAAAGAAAGAAAGAAAGAAAGAAAGAAAGAAAGAAAGAAAGAAAGAAAGAAAGAAAGAGAAAAGGAAGACATGGGTCAGCAGTGGCGTGGTGGTTAAGGTGCTGGATCCCACAGGGCCGACTCCACAGTTCGAGTCCCAGACCCAGTGGCTTGAAGGACACACTGGGTGTCTGTGTGCAATACCCCCAAAAAAATTCCAAGAGGAAAAGAAAAGGGATTGCAGTGTGGCTATCTGCCTAGGGGGTGTTTTCTCACTTTCTCTCCCTCTGTTTCTCTCTGGAGAGCACATGCACCCTACAGCAAGCTGGGGGAGAAAAAAGAGCTACTTGTTGAGTAATGGCTCTGTGGTAAAGTCGGAAACGCACATTGAGGCTCTCTGGGTAAAATGCGATAATGACTAGATCTGCGTTAAAATTCACGTGGTCTTTGGGCCAGCTCTGTGGTTAGGTAGGCAGATCCCACACGGCTGACTATGCAGATCCAGGCCTGCTGGCTCGAGAAACGCGCTGGGCATATCTGCATCCATGCCCAAAATCTTGAAAGGGAGGAGAGATACAGGAGAAGGAATTGTGGTGTGACCATGTCCCATGCGGGTGCTTTTCCCTCTCCCTCTTTCTCTCTCTCTGGTGAGCGCATGTGCCCTCTAGCAGAAAAAAATAATATAAGAGGCCTTCAGAAATTTCCTGGAAAATGAGTATTATAAAGAAACTATGCATAGATTTCAAATGTTTGCACCTAAATAATTGCATATTTTGGGACCAGCAGATGCCATAGCGGTTACATCACTGGGCTCCCACGTGGTTGACCGTGGTTCAAGTCCTGGACCCGATGGCTTGAAACTCATGCCAGGTACATCTGCGCTTGCCCAAGATCCGAGAAGGAGAACAGAGGGGAAGGTACAGTGTGGTCATCCCCCGAGGGGTGATTTCTCACTTTCCTTTTCACTGTCTCTGTCTCTCTGGCAAGTGCACATGCCCTAAGGCAAAAAACCTCGGTGGGGAGGGAGAAAAAAAATAATTGCGTACTTTTAATTCCATTTTTTCCACAACGAGTCGCCTCATATGCCAGCAGAATAAAACACAGGCAACTGCGTGCCCCAAACAGCAGAATGTGGGCCACCGTGGTATCTGAGCGACGGCACACGCACGTTTATGCTACCCATCCATCCTGGTGTGTTCGGGTGAGATACTGCGTTTTAAACACAGCTTGAGTTATACTTGAAAGGTTTCTCTATTTTCCCTTCCTTCCCACAGATAATTCCAAACGTCTGCTCCGGGCCCTGCCCCCGTCCTGGTATTTGCAATTGGGCCTTAACGGGCTGGGACACCGGCCAGGGGTTCCTAAGAGCTCCCAGCATCCAGAGTGGGGCGGGGGGGGCCGGAGAGTGTGTCAGTGCTGGGCTACATGGAAGTGGAAATCTAGGCAGCGGCCCTCTATTCGTCCCGCTCTCCCTCCCCATCCTGCTCCCACATCAATTACAAGGGCAAGAGCACTTGAGTGCAGAGGCTTAGGCCTGAATAAAGTGAACCCTTTTTTATTTTTTAAATTTCGTATGGGGCACACAGACTCACTCTAGACACACAGAGAGAGACAGGGAGAGAGGGAAAGTGAGAACGCACCCCAGGAGAAATGGTCTCCAGCCATGTACACTGTACACACAACCCACGTGTTTCTCAAGCTGCCAGGTCCGGGACTCAAACCATGCAGTCAGCCATGTGGGATCCAGCTACCTTAACCATCACACCACTGGCTGGCCCAAGATGAACTCTTATTAAATCAAATGTAATTGAGACCAGCAGTTGGCGTAATGGCTATGTTGCTGGACTCCCATGTAGTTGACCACAGTTTGAGTCCCGGACCTGGTGACTTAAACTCATGTCGGGCGCATGTGCGTGTGTGCCCAAGATCCCGAGAGGAGAATGGAGGAGAAGTGATTGTGGGGTGGCCATCCCCCTAGGGGGTGAGTTTTTGCTTTCTCTCTGTTTCTGTCTTTCTGGTGAGTGCACGCACCCTATAGCAAAAACCTCTCCAAAAAAGAAGAAAAATCAAATGTAATTAAAGGAAGCACTATTTAATGACTTTTTGGGACAGTGCATTTTTTAAATTGCCAGAGTCCTCATGAGCTAGCTAGAGAGAGAGAGACGGAAAGGAAGAATGCACTCCAGCGGGCATGGTCATGCCACAATCCTTTCTCTTCCGTCTCTTCATCCTATTGTCATTTTAGGCATAAGCATGTGTGCTTGGCATGTTTTTCAAGCCATTGGAGCTGGCATTCCAACAGTGTGGCCAGCCAGGTGGGCTCTGACTCCCGTAACCACCAGGCCACAGGGCCAGCCTGTAAACTGCCTAATTGTGGACATTTTTCTTCTCAATGGATATAGATTTACAACACCACTCTTCGTGGCTGCATCATGCGCCACTGACAAATTTCTTTTTTCATTTTTTTCTTTATTTATGATAGAGCGTGGTCATGCACATGTGAGAATGAAACCGACAGAGAAGGGGGAGGAGAGAGAGAGATGAGCACCCTCCACTCTGGCCATGCACCACAGTGCCATCCCTCAGTGCCAGTTCTCAGGCCTGGAGGATCCTGGGTGCTCACATGCCCAGTGTGTCTCAGGATGACTGGGCTGGGGGTTCAAACCATGGATGCCAATGGAATCCAGTTTCTCTCTCTTTTATAATTATTTTATTTAACTTTATTTATTTATTTTAATTTGACCACAGAAGAACAGAGTGAGAAAAAGCAAAAGATGGAAAGTGAGAAAGCACGCTGCCAGAACCGAGACTCGAACTGTGGCCGGCCATGTGAGAGTCCAGTGCCCTTAACCACCGTGCCACCTGCCAGCCCCAGGATCTGGTTTATCTTAAGCAGTGCATTACCACTGCATAATGGGGTCAATCCTCTATATTTTCTTTACCCGATGAATGTACAAGTATAAGACCGAAAAATGGAAACAATGCAAATGTCCAATAATTGGGTAAATCAGGACGGACATCTAGCCTCTAACTAAGACATCTAAAAACACTTTAACAGACATGGGGATGGGGCCAGCAGGTGGTGTGGTGGTTAAGGGTGCTGGAGTCCACATGTTTGACTGTGGTCTGAGTCCTGGACATGGCGACTTGAGTTCTCACTTTGCCTTTCTCTCTCTCTGTTCCATCAAATTAAAATAATAATAAAAAAATGGAATTAAATCAATTTTTTAAAATAAAAATAAATTAAAAAGACATGGGGACACGCTCAGAATGTGAAGTCGGAATAACTAGCTAGGCACACGGTTTGGGAGACCAGCTTGGGAAAGGAAGTGGCAGGCAGTGCGGGTTAGTGGCCTGACTGCTCTGGGTGGGACCACAGGGAACTCTTTCTGTTGTATCTTTTTTCCTGTTTGGTTTTTCCTTCCTGTTTCTTTACACTCTAAATTCTCTACAATGAGCACGTATTACTTTGATGACAGGATGGAGGAAGTAAAACCTTAAAGAAGAAAGGAGAGCACACACAAACACCAAGGTGACACACACAAACACCAGGGTCAAAGATAAGCCCTATAGCAGCAGAGAGCAGCCACTGGCTGGGGGGCGCATGCATCGCCCCACCCAGCGGCTTGGCCCCACCCAGAGGGGCAGGCAAAGAACACCTTCAACTTTTTTTTAAGTTGGTTTTTTTGGAGAGGTTTTTGCTATAAGGAGCATACGCTTGCCAGAAAGAGAGAGATAGACAGAAAGCGAGAAATCACCCCCAGGGGGGATGGCCACGCCGCAATCCCTTCTCCTCCATTCTCCTCTCGGGATCTTAGGCATGCACGCACATGCACCTGGCATGAATTTAAGCCACCAGGTCCGGGACTCAAACTATGGTCAACTACATGGCAGTCTAGTGACGTAGCCATTACGCCATCTGCTGGTCCCCAGTTTTTCTTTCTTTCTTTCTTGCTATAAGGCGCACATGCTTGCCATAGAGAGGAAATGAGAAATCACCCTCCAGGGTAATGTCCATGATGCAATCCCTTCTCCTTCACTCTTCTTTCAGGATTTTGGGCACACATGCCCAAGTGCCCAGCATATTTTCCAAGCTTCTGGGTCCAAGACTTGAACTGCACACTCAGCCAGGCAGGACCCAGTGCCTTAACTAACATGCCACTGGCTGGCCCAGAACACCTTTAACTCTTGATGCCTGAATATTCTGCAGGCTGGTTTCAGTTCTTCGCTTGCGTTTTATTCCTCTTACTCTGGGCTTCTGATACAGCAGCACGATCCCCTCTGACCTTGGTTTCCTCACTACGAAATGGCAACAGGTCAGCCCGTGGTGTGGCGGTGAAGGAGGCTGGTTCTCCTACGGCAGACTGAGCAGATCGAGTCCCAGATCCAAAGGCCTGAAAAACAGGCCAGACAAGTATGCGTGCATGCCCCGAGTCCCCACGGGAGGGAGAAATGGAGGAGAAGGCATTGAGGCATGATCATCCCCTGTGAGGGTCCTTTCTCACTTTCTCTCTGTCCCTCTCTCTGGTTAGCATACACTTCACCCTCTGGTAAAATTTTTTTTAAAAGTGAGAGAAAGAAAATTAAAATAGCAACAAAAAGGCTCTGATCGAGGGCTGGTGGGCAGATTTAAAAGGATGTAAGCTAACCACCTCGCATTTGGCAGGCCTGTTGCAGGCCCTTGGGGTTTGGCGGTTTCTCTCTCCTCTGTTGCTTCCCTCTGGAAACCACCTTGCATTGTCCCCTCTCCGAAGTGGCCTATGGGGCAGATACACTCAGTCCAATCACATTTCCCTAGAGTCCTTGAACTTCTGGGCTGACCTGGGAGGGATGTCAGCCCCACTGAGGCACCTTGCTGGGCCCAAGCCAGGACCATTCCCAATTCCTAGTTAGGTCAACCTAAAGACGACCCAACTTAGCACCAGGAGGAGGGGGCACCTGGGGCCACAGCTTACCCTTCTGTTGGTCCAGCTCCCCAAGGACAACGTACAGAGCGCCCACCTGGGCCTGGAATGGCTCCACTAACTTGGTGCACACGAGAACCTGGTGCTGCTCAGACCCGTGCTGGACTGTCAGAGTCGCTCTGGAGTGGACTGTGTCGTAGAGGGACAACCTGGAGGGCGAGAAAGCAAATCATCTCCTTTTTCTGGAGAGGTTTTTGCTATAGGGCATATGCACTCTCCAGAAAGACAGAGAGACAGAGACAGAAAGCTAGAAATCACCCCCCGGGAGGATGGCCACGCCACAATCCCTTCTCCTCCATTCTCCTCTCGGGATCTTGGGCACGCACGCACACGTACCCGGCGTGAGTATAAACCACCGGGTCTGGGACTCGAACCGCGGTCAACTACATGGGAGGCCAGTGACATAGCCATTACGCCATCTGCTGGTCCCTGTGCAATCATCTCCACTAAGTGATAACACAGATCGACATGTTGGCATGGAGTTCAGGCTGCTAGACAGCTAAGGAAACGAGGGGTACAATATAGAAATGCAATGGCTCTCATCTGGGTTCAAGTATCCCCACATGCGTGTCCAGAGGTGTTTCCAAGGTGGTCCCCAATGACTCTCATCTCTCAGCATTCACTTCTTTCTGCAGTCCCCACCACGCTAAACAGGCTGCGACCAGCAGGACATGCAGGAATGACTGAGTGACTTCGGAAGCAATGACACAAAAGAAAGTGTGGCTTTGTCTTGCTCCTTCTATTGGGTCATTTGTTCTGGGAGAAACTGCCATGTTTTGAGGACCCTCAAACAGCCCTGTGGAGAAATCCACACTCAGCTAAGAACTGAGTCTTGCAGGACCAGCAGTTGGCGTAATGGCTATGTCGCTGGACTCCCATGTAGTCAACCAAGGTTCAAGTCCTGGACCTGGTGGCTTAAATTCACGCCAGGTGTGTGCCCAAGACCCCAAGAGGAAAATGGAGGAGAACGGATTGCGACGTGGCCATACCCCCTTGCGGGTGATTTCTCGCTTCCTGTCTCTCTCTCTCTGTATTTCTGGCAAGTGCATACGCCCTATAGCAAAAATCTCTCTCAAAAAAAAAAGAACTGAGTCTTGGGCCCGCATATGGAGTGGAGGTTAAGGCACTGGATCCTATGTGGCCAGCTTTGCAGTTTGAGTCCCAGACCCAGTGGCTTGAAAATCACGCTGGGTGTGTGTGCGTGAATGCCCAAAATCCAGAGAGGAGAATGGAGAAGAAAAGACTGTGGTGTAGCTATCCTCTGTGGGAGGGGGGTTCCCCACCCCGCTTCCCTGCCCCTCGATGTCTGTCTCTCTCTGGTAAGTGTACACACACTATAGCAAACTGAGAAAAGAAAAAAAGAACTAAGTCCTCTTGCCGATAGCCAGCCCTAAATTGCCAAACGCAGGAAGAAGTTGCCCTGGAAGCATTTCCTCCCATTCGAGTTAAGGCGCAAGATGACAGTGACCCAAGCCAGCAACCTGACTACAAGCTCATGGGAGAGCCTAACCAGAGCACTCTGGCTAGGACATTCCCAAATTCCTGCCCTGCAGTCTCTCTGAGATAATAAACATCTGTTGTCATTTTCAAGTCAGGAGTGATTCGTTACAAGCAATACATAACCACGACAGTATGTATGTATGCACACATAATGGGTGTGTAACACCCACACACATATACATACACATATGCACATGCAAACACATAAAAAGTATGGAATAGTAGTCACAAAGGTTAACAGTGGTTGTCAGGACATTAGGATTATAGATGATTTTTGTTTGCTTTCTTTTTTGAGAGAGAGATTTTTGCTATAGGGCACATGCACTCACCAGAGAGAGACAGAGAGATATAAAGCGAGAAATCACCCCCCAGGGGGTATGGTCACGCCGCAATCCCTTCTCCTCCATTCTCCTCTCAGGATTTTGGGCACACACGCACCCGGTATGAGTTTTAAGCCACCAGGTCCAGGACTCAAAACGTGACTGACTACATGGGACTCCAGCGAAAAAACCATTATGCCATCTGTTGGTCCCTTTATTTGCTTTCTTTACATCTTTATGAGTTGTTTACTTTTTTTTTTGGAGAGGTTTTTTTTTTTTTTTTCGCTATAGGGCGTGTGTGCTCGACAGACAGACAGACAGAGACAGAGAAACAGAAAGCGAGAAATCACCCCCCAGGGGGTATGGTCACGCCGCAATCCCTTCTCCTCCATTCTCCTCTCGGGATCTTGGGCACGCACACACATGCGCCCGGTGTGAGTTTTAAGCCACCGGGTCTGGGACGCGAACCGCGGTCGACTACGTGGGAGTCCAGCGACATAGCCATTACACTAACTGCTGGTCCCCCTGGGTTGTTTACATTTTTTACAATGAGTATTTTTTTTAGCATTTTTTCATAATTTAATGACAATAGAACTACTTCTGTTTTTTTTTTATTATAATGAAATGGTTTTAGATTATTTTTAATAATCATTTGCTCTAAGCATCTCTCCCATCATGTGAAAAAACAGACATTCTCAGCTCAGTCATGGGACTGCAGGTGGTAGGATGCTGCTGAGTGAGGTCAGGGCCTCATGGGAGACCCAGGTTCGGGTCCCCAACCAATCACACAGGCCGGGCACGGTGGAGAGTGCCTGTCGTCCTGGGTTCTGGGTGGCCAGGGCACAGACCTTGTGAGAAATCTCTCTCCCTCTCCCTCCTCCTCCCACTCTTACCCTCAAATGAGTGCTCTCTCTCTCATAAAACAACAATTCTCACCTGCCAAATGTTCTCAGCGTGCCCCCATCAGGAACGTGGCCAGCGCTGACCTCCCAGGGAAAGTAATAGACGCCGGGTCTGGGCAGCATCACTGGCCTCTGCTACCCAGCGGCTGGGCTGACTTCGGAGGACCCTTGACAAACCAAGCAAAGCGCAGGACGGAGGTGAGCAGCTGCTTTGCTCTGCAGTGCCGTGTGGCCCAGCTCCAGCAGTGGTGTCTTAGAATTTAAAAAAAAAGAGGTTATGCGTTCACATCTTTAAAATGAAACCATATTAAAAAGCACTGTCCCCACCTCCATCTCTATGCAGCCCCAGCCCCGTTAGCAGGAGACTTTAAAGTGACAGAGTAGGACACAGGTTCTGCTTTCTGGACTATATGACGCCTGTCACCACGACTCACCTCTGACTTTCAGTATGAAAGCAGTCATAGAAGTCAGCAGGTGGTTAAAGACCTGGACTCCCACATGGCTGACTGCAGTTCAGGTCCTAGACCTGGCAGCTTTAGGACCACGCTGGGCACATGTGCATGTGTGCCCAAAATCCCAAGAGGAGAATAAAGGAGAAGGGACCACAGTGTGGCCATCCCCTGTGGGGGGTGACTTCTCACTTTTCTTCTGTATCTCTGTCTGGCAAGTACATGTGCCCTATGGCAAAAACAATCGAAAAACCAGCCATAGATAACACAGAAGGGACTGGACCCAGTGTAACCTATTCCAAGAGAACTTGTTTATTTTTTTGCAAAAATATACAGTGAACAGGATCAGCAGATAGAGTAATGGTTATGTTGTTGGACTCTCACGCAGTCGACCACAGTTCATGTCTTGGACCCAGCGGCTTAAACTCACAACAGGTACATGTGCATGTGTGCCCAAAATCTCAAGGGGAGGGAACCAGCAGTTAGCGTAATGGCTATGTTGCTGGACTCCCATGTAGTCAACCGCAGTTCGCGTCTTGGACCCGGTGGCTTAAAACTCACGCCGGGCGCGTGTGCGTGCGTGCCCAAGATCCCAAGAGGAGAATGGAGAAGGGATTGTGGCGTGACCATACCCCCTGGGGGGTGATTTCTCGCTTTCTGTCTCTATGTCTCTCTCTGTCTGTCTGGCGAGCACACGTGCCCTATGGCAAAAATCTCTCTCTCAAAAAAAAAAAAGAAAAAAAATCTCAAGGGGAGAATGGAAGAGAAGGGATTGCAGTGTGGCCATTCCCGCTGGGGCATGGTTTCTTGCTTTCTGTCTCTTCAGCAAGTGTATGTGCCCTATAGCAAAAATCTCTCTCTCTAAGACAAAAAAAAGAAAAAGAAAAAGAAAAAGGAAACCACATCCGGAGCACTGAGCAGACACCTGCCGAGAAGCAGAGTCCCAGCTGCTTAGAAGGTGGTTTCTGGGGCCAGATGGTGCAGTGGTAAAACAGGACATTCTACGAGGCACGCCCACATGGGAAGGTCCTGGGTTCTCACCTGGAGGCCTCCCAAGTACACCAGGCACGCACGTGCCCAAGACCCAGGGCTGGCTGGGGTTGGGCATGAATCGCAGTGTGAAGACTGCTAGGGTGCTCTCTCTCAAGGAAGAAATGAATAAACAAACAGATTCCACTGCTCTGTTTGAGAGGCCTGACATGTTTAATAAAATGAAACAGTATAAACATACTAGCTAAATCTCCTACACATGTGTTCTAAGACCCCCAGAAGATACCAAAGCCCTGGATAGTACCAAACCCTACGCTGGGTTTCTTCCCATACACACAGACCTGTGATGTTCTAGCCTGGCTTGTGGTTGATAACACAAAAATCCTAAAATTCCTGAACCTGGCTGATTGATAAAAATAGAACTTTATTCAGCTATTTGGAGGGTCCAGGGGCCCTCTCTGGTGGGGATCTGGGGTCTACATCACACATGGTAGAAGGTAGGAGAGCGTGGTCTGGGTCATAGGAACAAAGATAAATGGTGCAGGGGCTGGCAGGTGGCGTGGTGGTTAAAGGCTCTGGACTCCATATGGCCGACTGCGGCTCGAGTTCTGGACCTGGTGGCTTGCTTTCTCACTTTTTCTCTCTCTCGTTCTCTCTTGCTTGCTCTCTGTCCCTCTCTGATCAAATTAAAATAAAGTTAAATAAAATGATTTTTTTTAATAAAATGATTTTTTGAAAAAATATTGAAATAATAAAAAAAAACAACAGTAGCTGGCAGGTGGCATGGTGGTTAAGGGCACTGGACTCCCACATGGCTGACTGTTCGAGTCCCTGACCTGGCAGTTTGCTGTCTCACTCCCCCTGCCACCGTCCTTCTCTGGCCAAATTAAAATAAATAAATAAATAAATAAAGTTAAATAAAATAATTATTACAAATAAAAGATAAATGGGACCAGCAGCTGGTATAATGGCTAAGTCACTGGACTCCCATGTAGTCGACCACGGTTCGAGTCCTGGACCCTGTTGCTTAACCCACGCCAGGCGTGTGTGCGTACGTGCCCAAGATCCTGAGAGGAGAATGGAGGAGAAGGGGTTGCAGCATGACCATTCCCTGGGGGTAATTTCTTGCTTTCTGTCTCTCTGTCTTTCTGGAGAGTGCATGTGCCCTATAGCAAAAACCTCTCAAAAAAAAAGAGGCAGGGCCAGCAGTTAGTGTAAGGGCTATGTCGCTGGACTCCCATGTAGTCGAGCACGGTTCGTGTCCCAGAACCGGTGGCTTAAGACTCAGGCCGGGCGCATATGCATGCGTGCCCAAGATCCCAAGACGAGAACAGAGGAGAAGGGATTGTGGCGTGGCCATCCCCCCTGGAGGGTGATTCATCTCACTTTCTGTCTCTCTGTCTCTGTCTGGCAAGTGCACGCGCCCTATAGCAAAAAAAAAATCTCTCCAAAATAAATAAATAAATAAATAAAGATAAATGGGGTAATAATTAAATGACCCTAAAGTTCCTGTGGAAACCTGATGACACAGCGTTAGTCCAGAAGTTCAGGATAATCTAGACCAGCACAATTGATTTTCTGACCCTCTTATGACAAGGTCACCAGGAGGCATTGCAGGTACATGTACTATAGTCCTTCCAGGGCAGCAAGCCAAGAACAGGTCTGGCTGGGGGGGGCGGGCGGGCCAAGGCCCAGCTGCCTCCTGTCCTCTACATGCAGATGTCATGGATGGCCATGGCACAGGGGCAGAGCCATTTCTGTCACCAGAAATAAGACAGCGCCTAGTCATCCTTAGTAGGATAGAGAAGCAAAATTGAAATAAAGCAAAACAAAAATGACCAAGAAAAAAATATGTAGTGGTTTCTGGCTGGGATCATGGAGAATACTCCTTTCTGTAAATGTGAAATTATTTCAAAATAAAAAGAGGAAACCAAATCTGGTTCTTCTTCAAAGTCTATTTTTTTTTTTTGAGAGGTTTTTGCTATAGGGCACGTGTGCTTGCCAGAAAGAGAGAGAGACAGAGAGACAGAAAGTGAGAAAGTACCCCCCTGGGGGGATGGCCACCCCACAGTCCCTTCTCCTCCATTCTGCTCTCGGGATCTTGGGCACACACACACATGCACCCGGTGTGAGTTTAAGCCACCGGGTCCGGGACTCGAACCGCAGTCGACTACGTGGAGTCCAGCAACATAGCCATTACGACAACTGCTGGTCCCTCTAGGAGTCATTCTTTAAAAAATGTATTTTTAAAAATTTATTCACCTCTTTTATGACTGAGAGACAGAAAGCTAAGCATCCCAACAGGGTCTTCACACCATAATCTGCCCAGCCCTGGCGAGCACGTGTGCACACGTGCACCTGATGTGTACACGGATGGCGCCAGACATGGACCCAGGGTCTTCCCACGTGGCCCAGAGTTGTGAAGCATTGAGTCAAGGAGTCATTCTTTTTTTTAAATTTCTAGTGGACACCTGCACTTGCCAGACGGAGACAGAGAAGGAGAAACGGAGAAACCATCCAACAGGTAATGGTCACAATGCCATCCCTTTGCCTCCATTTCTCAATCCTGTTTGGATTTGGAGCACGCGCACCTGCCCAGCATGTTTGTGTGTGTGTGTATGTATGTGTGTGTGTGTTTAGATACTGACTTTAATTAGTATAATGCCAATTCTTGTTCTAACAGTTTGCCATATTTTGTTCCACTTCCAATCCATTGCAAAACCATGCAAAAGTTGTTGCAGACCTTCACAGGTATTCCTACAGTAAAAGTTTAATAAAATATTAATAAAAATTAAACCACTAGTCTCCAAATATAATAGCTATATCCATTCATGATGACGTATTGAACACAGTTGTTCACTAAGCCCTGGCATGTTTTTAAGACTCCAGGGCTGGGATTCCAACTGCGGTTGGCCACGTGGGATTCAGTTCCATCAACCACTAGGCTATGGGGCTGGTCCAATGAGTCATTCTTGATGCCACCCTTTCTCTCGTGGCCTCATTCGACTCATCCCCAATTCGGGTCTGTCCACGTCACCCACACTCACTGTCCCTGACCAAGCTTTTTCAGCTGGAGAACAGGTCTGCAGTGTCCATCCTTGTCCTTCTGTAGTCCATGCTCTCCATAAGCAGAGCAAAATTTTAAAGCACGAAATATGTCAATATGCCACAGAAAGCTTTTTTGTGAAACTTCAAGTCTAGATCTAATAAAGCCTCTTGGTCTGATAACTTAACAACCAATAGAGAAATGTGTAAAGACACTGTGGAAATGGTAAAACCCAGATGGTGGGAAATTCCACACGAAAAATGACCTTGCTTTTCAACAAATAAATTGAAGAAAAACAAGACATATAGGGGAAACCTATAAATAAAAAGACGTTTTAAATTCATATCAACTGGGCCAGCTGGTGGCACGGTGGTTAAGGTGATTAGGTTCCACATGGCAAACAGCAGTTCAAGTCTCGGACCTGGCAGATTGAAGGACATGCCAGGCATATGTGCGTGCGTGCCCAAAATCACGAAAGGAGACACAGAGAAAGGACTGTGTCATGGCCATTCTCCATTGGAGGGATCCTTTCTCATTTTCTCTCTGTCTCTCTAGTAAACATATACATCCTCTGGCAAACAGAAGAAAATGAGGCTGTACCTCAACCAACTGCAACATGCGGACCTTGTTTGGAATCAGATTTAAACAAACTAACCACAGCTCACTTCCTTTATTGGGGAAGAGTTTTGCTATATGGTGCCTGTGCTTGCTGGAGAGACAGAGAGAGACAGAAAGCAAGCAAGAACTCACCCTTTGAGGGAATGGCCACTCCGCAATCCCTTCTCCTCCATTCTGCTCTCAGGATTTGGTATTTGGGGCATGCACATACACACACCCAGTGTGAGTTTTAAGCCGTCAGGTCCGGGCCTGGAACCATGGTTGACTACATGGGAGTCCAGCGACATAGCCGCTATGCCATCTGCTGGTCCTGCCACTAATCACTCTCATGAAACAACCAGGGAAGTGTGAATACTGGAGGAGCCTGTGATGACTTTGAGGGAGGCTAAGCACGTTACCCCAAAATATGGTACATTGGCTTTGAGAGCATCTCAGAAACATAAAGGATTCTCTGATCTTCTCCTGCCCTTCTCCCCTGAAGCACGCCATGATGCGTCACATGAGAGGTGCTTCCCCATAACCAGAGGAAAGGAACATCCTTTCTCTGAAGACAGAAGCACGGAGAAGAATCTGAACAAACATGTCCTGCTAAGCTCCTCCAGTTTATTACCATTAGCTCAGACTCCCACTGTCCAATCACACTTTCCTCCGACATGGCATCACACCTAACATGAGTCTGCAGAGAAACACAGGTCACCCTGTTTCTTTGAGTCTTCATTTCCAAATGAATGGAGGAAAGAGGATTGGGGTGTGACCATACCTCATTCTGGTGTGCCTTCTCTCTGGTGAGCCCTCTGCCATCATGTAGAACACATTTAAGAAATGGTATGCTTCCTTCTTGTCAATCTGTCTTGTTATAAGAGTTAAGCAACGAACCAGGTGATGGCTTAAGAAATCTTTCCTCTCTTACACCTAGGAATTTTTGTTAATATTTCCAAGTGTGATAATGGCATTGTGCTTATTTTCAAAACAGCTTAAAGCAACATACTAAAATAATTTATGGGGCCAGCAGGTGGTGTAGTGGTTGGGACACTGGACTCCCACATGGCTGACCATGATTCAAGACCTGGGCTCAGCTGGACCCAGTGGCTTGAAAATCATTCTAGCATGTGTGTATGCATTCCCACAATCGCAGGAGATATTAGAGGAATGGCCACCCTCCCTGGGGGATGATTTCTCACTTTCCCTCTCGCTATCTCTGTAACCCTCCAGGGAATGCCCTATGGCAAAAAGCCTTTAGAAAATTATGGATGATGCAATATGGAACTGGTGTAAAATTAATGTCTTAGGGGGAATGAACCATGTTAGAGTTGATAACATTTGAACCTAGATAATGAGTATATATAGGTGTCACTATGTTGTTAAATACAATCTATGAGAAGTGATAGATTTGGATGAACCCCTGCACTGGGCCCAACTGACCAAACCAAAACAGAATGACTCATGCTGAAGTTCTACACCACCAAGGAGAGTCTAGTTTGTTTATCTAACCTTTGGTACAAATCAGGGGAGAGATAACAGCCAGATCTCCAAACAAGCTGATATGATAAGAAAGTTCCCCTCTGCTTTTAACCTTTATAAGGAAAGTAACTTTGAAATGACCAATCCACTTTTCACTCTGTTCCCTTGGCACTTTTCTTTCTTTTTTGAGAGTTTGATTTTACTTAATAGTAGCATTATACTTTTGTGAGTTTCTTTTTTTTTTTTTTGAAGATTTTTAAAAGAATTATTTACTTACTCATTTACTTATTTTCAATGTGCTACAGGGCACATGTGTTCACCAGAGAGACAGAAAGAGACAGTGAGAGAGTGAGAAAGCAAGCCACCAGGTCAAGGATTCGAACCCGGACCTTCACACCACCTGCTGGGCCCACTTTTGTGATTTTTTTTTGGCTGTAGGGTGCTCCTGCGCTAGCTGGAAAGACAGAGAGACAGAAAGTGAGAAATCACCCCCCAGGGGGGATGGCCACGCCCCAACCCCTTCTCCATTCTCCTCTTGGGATCTTGGGCACGCCTGCACACGCATGGCCTAAGTTTAAGCCACCAGGTCCGGGACTCGAACCGCAGTCTACTACATTTAGGTCCAGCAATGTAGCCATTATGCTATCTTCTGGTTCCCTGAGGGTTTTTTTGTTGTTGTTGTTTTTGTTTGTGTTTTTTTTTTTGAGAGATTTTTGCTTTACGGTGCCTGCGCTTGAAAGATAGACGCACAGAGACAGAGACAGACACAGTGGGCATTCCAAAACCACGCCCACCCTATGAGCAAGGAGAAGGCGGCAAGGCCGCACCCAAGCGCCCACAGCCCCGCGCCTCCGTTTTCTTAGAAGACATCTAGAGCCTCTCTCCAAAGCGACCTCTGTTCCAGTCACTTTTTCCCACAATCTCGGAAGCCGGAAATCCCCAACGCCCTTCCCTCACAACTCCGTAAGGCCCACCGCCTCCCCATCCCCAAGCCTTCGAGTCTCCGTTCCCTCTGTTTCCCAAGGCCCTTGACACCCGGAGCCGGAAGCGCCGGGGCGGGCGAGTCCCACAGCGCAGGCGCAGTCCCGCCTCAGCCGCGTTGCCCCGCCCCTCCCGAGTCCTCAGCCAACGTGTTCTGGGCGTCGCCGGGACTCAGATTCCCCGTTTCCGCCTCGCGTGGTCACGTGATGGGGGCGTGCTAGCGAAAGGAGCCTCGCTTTCCCGAAACGCCGCCCCCCGCGGCGATTTCTTACCCTCTTCCTGGAGGTCTTCCACGACGGGCGGCTCGGCGGCCTCTCCTGCCCGGAGCAGGGAGTTGGTCCGGCCCACCGCGCCGAGGCGGTGAAGGAGAAGGGGCGGGCCGCGGCTGGCGGAGGCGGGGCGGGGCGGGGTCTCGCGCTGTCCTGGGGCTGCTCTTAGGGCCGGGCTCGCGCTGGGACTGCAGATACCCGACTTCGCCGCCGCCCTCACCGCCTCGGCCGCCGCCCGCGCTAGCAGCAGTCACCATGAACCCAGATCTCCGCAGAGAGCGGGATGGCGCCAGCTTCAACCCGGAGCTGCTTACATACATCCTGGACGGTAGTCCCGAGAACACCCGGCGCCGCCGAGAGATTGGTGAGGACGGCGGGCCCGGCCTCCCTCCTTTCCCGAGCAAGGCTCGATCCTCCCTCGACGAGGAGACGGGGGCGCTGTGGGGCTAGACCCCGGACTCGAGGTCTGGGCTGGGGAGCCGGGACCCGCACGTCGAGGGGCGGCCTGTGGCGGGTGTGGGGGTTCGCTCTGCCAGCCCTCCAGCCCTCTGGGACTGAAGAGACTGTAACGGAGCCCTGAATGTCTCTGTCTGCCTGTCGATGTCCTTTAATTCCCTTCTAGAGAACAAGATTCTGAATGACCCAGACTTCCAGCACGAGGACTTGAACTTCCTCACTCGCAGCCAGCGTTATGAGGTGGCTGTCAGGAAGAGTGCCAATATGGTGAAGAAGTTGAGGGAGTTTGGCATCGCAGACCCTGATGAAATCGTGTGGTTTAAGAAGTAAGTGTGCCTCAGCACTGAACGAGTGCTGGAAGGCCCAGCTTACAGCTGCGGTCCGTGGTGGCATTTTACTTTTGTGCTTGGCCTTCAAGGATTCAAACCGTCGTATTTTCATGCCACTTTAAAATTGTGTGTGAGCGAAATATTGGGATCATTTTGTATTGTTTTGATGCTAACATACTTGTAGCAAGCAGTGAGCTTGTAAGTGGAGATGCCAGCGTTTTCCTTTAAAAATTCAGTCTCAGGAACCTTAAAGTAAGTTCGGCCCGTACATCGCAGTTTTGAGTGATTTAAATGCAAAATGACTGCTTTTTGTAAGAACTACTAAGTTTTTAAATTTGGAAAGACTTATTTTTCAGTTGCAAGAACAACCATTTAAATATTTCAGAGCAATAGCAGATTGTATTTTTATATGATAATGTGGGTTGGGGGATCGATTAAGAACTTCAGTTAAAGCTCAGAATTAAAATGAAGAATTCTAAGAACCCAGCATTGTTGAATCTGGTGACAGCATTTAACCTGTCTTGGTCCTAGTGCTGGAAAAAGTATATCCTTTTTTCAGACCATTTGTTTTTGTTTTTTAATTAGAAGTATAATATGGATTATCTTCTTCAATCATGATTTTAGTACAAGATTCTTTTGGCTAAAGCATTTCTTCTCATTTATTCCTGAGCATTTCCTCATCTAGGTTACCACATTTTAGGGGAACTCCTGTATTTTCACTAAAAGAGATTAAGTTGAATAAACGACGTGAACTCAGGAACCAAGATCATTGAAACACATTGCAAGTTCTACCTTTATGTAGCAAGACTCATTCCACCCTTATGCACTGCCTTTAGTACATTTTGTATGGGTTTTCACCTTGACTCAGTTAATTTTGTGAAGATGAAATGGTTTACTCTGGTATTTAGGACTTTGTTCAGAACTCTATTCCATTTTAGTCATAAAAATATTAATTTACTTATTTTAGGTAGCCCAGAATACTCACCAACTTTCAAGTGCTCCTTTTTGTTTTTTAAATTCGTTGACTTATAGCTGTGTGGACATTCAGGTCAAGTGACTGCTAGGTGATTATGTTACTGTAAGACCTGAGTTGAGTTTCTAAACTTAAATAACATTTGATTCATTCTTTGAGCAACGAGACAAGGGTTTTCGGGGGTCTTTTGTGGGGGAGTGGCTTTTTAAAATTGGTGCAGTGCATTTCAGACTTGGCATAAAGATTTCAGAACCTAGGGTGGGTATGGAATGTGCAACTAACTAGGCTTGGATGAAGTCACAGTGAAAGAGAACAAAGTCCTTCCCATAGGGTTAAAAAGCCATGGACACCCTCCATTTGATTTGTGTGTTACTGTTCATGTGACATTTAAAGTACAAACTGCAACTCACCCTTTTGACACCCTTCTGATGTCGCTAGGATATGATAAGGAGAAAAGTTCGAGAAGGATATTGGAAATTAATTTTGGTAGTGACTGCATGCATCAGAATCTGAGCCTCCGTTGTATAATCCTAGCGATTATAACTCATACCTGTGTTTTAAGAGAGATTTTTGCTATAGGGTATTTGTGCTTGTCAGAGAGACAGAGTCAGAGAGAGAAAGCAAGCAAGGAATCACCCCCGCCAAGGAGGGGAATGGCCACGCCAGTGTTTTAAGAGAGATTTTTGCTATAGGGTATTTGTGCTTGTCGGAGAGACAGAGAGAAAGAAAGCAAGGAATCACCCCCCAAGGAGAATGGCCACACCACCATCCCTTCTCTATTCTCTTCTCTTGGAATTTTGGGCTCCTGACATGAGTTCTGAGCCACTGGGTCTGGGACTCAAACCATAGTCAACTATGTGGGAGTCTAGTGACGTAACCATTAACGCCATCTACTAGTCCTGTTCTTAAGAGTGTTTTTAAATTCTGGGGCCAGGAGGTAATATAGGGGTTAAGGTGCTGGATTCCTATGTGGCCGACTGTGATTCAAGTTCCAGACCTGACGACTTGAAACTCGGGCCAGGGGTATGTGCCTTGCATGCCCAAGATCAGAGAGGAGAATGGAGAAGGAATTGCAGCATGGCCGTCCCTCTGGAGTGTGATTTCTTGCTTACTGTCTGTGTCCCTCTGGTGAGCACACATGCCTTACAGCAAAAATCTATAAAATAAAAAATAAGAAAAAAAGTATTTTAAACTTCTAATAGGATCAGTCATAGTTTTTGCAATCCTTCTTAGGTTTTTAAAACTGGTTCCTTAAAAAGCATCTTAAAGAGGGATTAAATCCAACTTAAAAAGAAACACTCAGATTTTGTTAAAATGCCCTCTGGGGGAAAAAGTCAATATTTTTGTTCAGGACATAAATATTCGATAGTCTTTATTTCATGTCTCATATTTTTACTGTTTTGTACAATTGTTTTTGTGTTGATAATAATTTAATAAACTTCACAGTACTAAATTAGTCATTCTTTTCAGTTCCCTTATGGGAATGAGTATCTTATATATTGTTTTCCTTTTAAAAAAATTTTTTTTTAGAATTACTTAATTTTTTTTTTTTTGGAGAGTTTTTCGCTCTAGGGCACATGCGCTCGCCAGACAGAGAGAGACATAGAGATAGAAAGCGAGAAATCACCCCCCCAGGGGGGATGGTCACGCCGCAATCCCTTCTCCTCCATTCTCCTCTCGGGATCTTGGGCACGCATGCACACATGCCCAGCATGAGTTTTAAGCCACCAGGTTCGGGACACGAACCGCGGTCGACTACATGGGAGTCCACCAACATAGCCATTACGCTAACTGCTGGTTCCCGAGAATTACTTACTTTTTTAAAAATTATTTTATTTAACTTTATTTATTTTTATTTGACCAGAGAGGGACAAAAAGAGAGTGAGAGAAAGAGAAAGCAAGCTGCCAGTTCTAGGATTCGAACCATGGTTGGCCATGTGGGAGTCCAGCGCCCTTAACCACCACGCCACTTGCGGGCCCCTAGATGTATTTAATTTTATTTATCTTTTTTTTTTTTTGAGATAGATTTTTACTGTAGGGCATGTGTGCTAGCCAGAAAGACAGAGATACAGAAAGCAAGAAATCACCACCCCCTGGGGGGGTGGCCATACCACAATCCCTTCTCTTCCATTCGCCTCTCAGGATCTTGGGCACACATGCACATGCACCCGGTGTAAGTTTTTAAGTTGCTGGTTCTGGGACTTGAACCATGGTCTACCATGTAGGAGTCCATTACACTGTCTGCTGGTCCCATAATTAACTGTTTTTTAATTTGATCAGAAAGAGAGAGAGAGAGTGAAAAAGCAAGTCACCAAGTCTGAGACTTGAACCATGGTTGGCTATGTGGGAGTCCAGTGCCACAACCACCACACCACCTGCCAGCCCCTCCTTTTCTTTTTGAAAGAAATTTTTTTAGTTATTTTATTTAACTATTTATTTATTTATTTATATTTGAACAGAGAGGGGCAGAGTAAGAGAGAGAAGGATAGTGAGAAAGCAAGCTGCCAGGTCTGGGACTCGAACCATGGTCCACCACTATGAGAGTGTAGCATCCTTAACCATCATGCCACCTGCTGGCCCCTGAAAGAGAGAAGTTTTGACAGAGTCTCCCTATGTAGCAAACCTCCTGCCCCAGCATCCCAGTTAGCCAGGACAGGTGCACCATCATGCCCAGCGCGTCTAGGTTGAGCCTGAGTCTGACTGTGGACTCTCATGGAGCTCCAGCTGCCATGCAGCAGTACTCTCCCACATGTGCCACCATGTGCCCAAGTGTCTTATATTGCCACCTTTTCTTTGTACCTAAATTATTGTTTTTATTTCCCAGAAATGCATATGTGTTTATTTGCTCTTTATATACTCATTGAAGAAAATAGAATGTACAAATATTTACTAGTTTTAGTAAGACATAATTGTTAGGAAATGCAGTATTACTTTTGCCTTTGAAAGAATGATTTATGCATTCATCTGTTTGGGGCTTTTAGTGTCCACTTCAGTGAGATAGGTTGGTTTTGTGAAGTAACCTGTATACTGCAGGAATATGCTGCATATCCAAATTACTTGGAAACTAACTTCTCTCTTCTGTTCATATATCTCCTTCCTCCTCCTTTTCTCCAGTTTAAATTCACATCTGCTGTTAGTGTGAAAATCATAGACTTTTAGGGCTAAAAGGCATTTTAGATGTTGGCCAGGGATCACTAGGACATTTGGACTCATCTGTCCCTAGTGTCTCTGGAAGGTGATTTAAAAAAATATATATTTATTTTATTTTATTTGTTATTATTATTTGTTATTTTTAAATTTGACCAAAGAGACAGAGAGAATGAGAGAAGGGGAAAGTGAGAAAGCAAGCCACCAGATCCAGGACTCGAACCATGTTCAACCATGTGGGAGTCCAGCACCTCAATCACCATGCCACCTAGCCCCTCTGGAAGGTGATTTTTCACCTTAAGTTTATGCCTGACAGCCATTGGTGACTAAGAAACGTTTTTTTTCTCTGATGTTATCGAGCAGCTCCTATTGACTTTTTTCTTTTTTTGGAGAGGTTTTTTTTTTTTTTTTGGAGAGATTTTTCACTGTAGGGCACGTGCGCTCGCCAGACAGACAGAGAGAGACATAGAGACAGAAATCACCCCCCAGGGGGGATGGTCATGCCGCAATCCCTTCTCCTCCATTCTCCTCTCGGGATCTTGGGCACGCACGCACACGCGCCCGGCGTGAGTTTTAAGCCACCGGGTCCGGGACGTGAACTGCGGTCGACTACGTGGGAGTCCAGCGACATAGCCATTACGCCAACTGCTGGTTCCCAAGAGGTTTTTGCTATAGGGTGCATGCGCTCGCCAGACAGACAGAGACAGACAGAGACAGAAAGCGAGAAATCACCCCCCAGGAGGGATGGCCATGCTGCAATTCCTTCTCCTCCATTCTCCTCTCTGGATCTTGAGTATGCACACACCCGCCCGGCGTGAGTTTACGCCACCAGGTCCGGGACTCGAACTGCAGTGGGAGTCCAGCGACATAGCCATTAGGCCAACTGCTGGTCCCTCCTATTGACTTTTACACATGCCTTAGGATACAAAAGTCATCTCCTCAAGTGGAATCCGTAATGATCATATTAATTCATTTTGGTTAATTGGAAATAATATCTAAGAGCTTCCATGGAGAGATTAGTTTGTTTCCTGTCAGATTGTGATTTGTGTTAAAAAATAAAATAAGATAATTTGTACAGTACTTACTAAGGAAATAGGAAACTAAGAGGACATACTATGTTTACTGTTGTGTTTTTTGTTTTTAAACCTGTTGTTTGTTGTGATTTTCAAGCCCTTAGGTCCAGGACTCAAGCTGCAGTTGGCTATTCCCAGTGGGAATCCAGCACCTTAACCACCTTGCCGCCTGCTGGCCCCACTGTTGTTTCTTTTAAGGTGGTGGGTGGCTTCAGAGCTCCACGAATGTGGACTGGCAGCCTGGTCCGCCCTTTCTTTAATTCATCCTCTGTTCATCCTACAGGAAGATAAACTGGTTGTGACACTACTTCTTAGTCATCCATGAGAAGCCATAAGGATCAATTAGGCAATACATTCTTTGTACTTTGAGCTCTTTTGATATACACTGTGTCAAAGTACAAAATAAAATCTGTGAGGCATAGCAAAGGCTGAATGATGTGTGTAATTTATATTTTGACTCTCCTGTGGATTCTATGGGGTCGTTTTGTTTTATTTTGTTTAAGTTTTTGCTCTAGGCCACTTGTGCTCACTGGACAGAGTCAAATAGGTAGAAAGCAAGAACTCCCCCCCTGGAGGGATGGCCACACTACAGTCCCTTCTAATCCACTTTCTACTGGGGATTTTGGGCATGCATACCCACTTTGTTTTTCACGCTGCCGGTGTCTAGGACTTGAACTGTGTAGTTGACTATGTAGGATCCAGCCACCTTAACTGCCATGCCACCAGCTAGCCCATAAAATCTGTTTTTTGAGACTAGAGTTGGAAACTGATGTTCAATGTAATGTAGAGTTCCTTCAATCTGGAGTAATATCTATTGCAATCAGGGATAGATTTTTAACATGCTCCCATGACCTCCTTACCCACCTGTAAGCCCTGAATACCTTTAAGGATATGTGATTCTGCCCTGGAATATTTACACTTCTGGATGTTTGCTTAGATTATCTAATGAAAGATAGTTAAAATTACTTTTCCTTAGGAGATTCATTAGCAGCTCTACAAATATGTGTTCTTTTTTCTTAAAGAGATTTTTGCTATAGGGCACATGAACTTGCCAGAAAGACACAGACAGGCAGAAGGCATCACCCCCCCCCCCCCCCGGGGGGGGGGCTCACCACGCACCACTCT